AGACACTTAATAAAAGAATAAATTATATACTGAAGACAAAAAACAGTGTCAGACACAGACTAGGACAGGGGCTGCCAAAAAGTCTATCTTGGTGGTGTCTGGAAATGTTAAGTTCTGGAGAAAAGACCAAACTAAAATTAAGAAGAACTAAGTCATTAGAATATACTCTTTAGCGGATTATTAACTACCTGTGAATGTTTTAATAAAACAGACTTCTAGAATTTTTTAAAATTTCAGACTAAGGAAAACCCTCTCCGACTAGCCATTTGTTGAACACTGTCATTTATTTCCATTCTATTCACTGCTGTGGAGCCCAGTTACTCCTTTATTTTCTTATTCACATGTAGTCTGACTTATCACAAGTAAAATAAAAATCACAAGGATGCCATTATCCTTCAACATTTCCCCAAAGTACAAATGCTAATGTGCATTAAGTCCTTGCAGAAATGTACAATGCAGTTCTTCAGTAAAAAGTACTGTAATTAATAAAATGATTTCCAGTTCAATATATACACACAGAACTTTACATAAGTTAGAAACTGATTAAGGTGATTCACACATGCTAGGTATTCAATATTCAATACAGTTAGAATAACAGTTATTTGAGAGGAATATAATCTTTGAATATAAGACAGATTTTGATTAAATAACTATAAATTCATTTATCTATTTTGCTAGTCACTCATTGATCTAGAAATTTTAGGCACCATGAGATAACTGATGGAAAAAATTAGTTCTGTAAATAATGAACACCGCTGCTCTCTAGTATAGTTTTCTGAGAATGAAAACCTTTCCCAAAAGTCAGTATGTGAAACCTGTTTATTTAGAAAAAGCTAAAACGTTAATGTATTTTCACTCTAGTAGAAGAAAGCTTTGAAACAAGTTTCTATAAGCACTCTAGGAAAATTAATTAATTTTAAAATGGAAAGGGAGGATCTTAATTTCCAAGAATATCAGCCTGAGAATAAACTTTATAGAAAGAGAATATCTGAGTATCTCTTTTAAAAGAGAAAAAGTTATTAAAATGTTTTGTATTCCACTGAGAACAGTATAAAAATGACTTAAAAAGATACATTTAAGGAAAAGATAAAAACTGAAAGCAAATGAATTAACAGGCAAACATATTACATGCGGTTAACATTATATTTGTATTATCTCTTAGAATAGAATCATAACTTCTTTATGTATAAAACAATGTGGCTCTCAAGATGCTCATGAAAAAGTCTAATTAAATTTCACTCTAGAGTTAGCAATCTGGTAGCGTATTAGGCCTAAATAAACCTGATATGTTAAATCAGGAACCAACACATGCTATTTTTCATAACAGGAGTTATATAAATTACAAGCTCTTCCATGTTTTTATTAGATTTGGTACACTTAAAAATAAGCTGTATTCTCCATCCAGAGTACTCTAAATATGACTGTTATTACATCTTTTAGAACTTATAATTCATCCTAATGCTCTATCTTTACAAAACACACACACACACAAAGATTTGCATTTCCTACTTACTATCTTGGACAGTAAAACTATATTTGTTCTATGTTTAAATCCATGGGTTCTGCTCTGTGAGGTTTCAAAAAGAAGCAACTTTATTATATTTTCCTTTGGTTGTTACTAATGATTTTAGCTTAAAGATCATTAATCTTAACACTAACATCCTGCTTTTTCTCATTTGAGTTGCTCTATTTATCTCAAAGGTAGACTTTATGTATTACCATTACAAAAAAATAACTATTTGCATAATACTTTATGATTTTACATCTATTACAAACACATCACAGGGAGCCTGAGGATTCATTCAGCAGCCTGTCATTCACCACTGCAAGACCCTTCAGAACCAAACAAGAGGGAGGATGACATTTTACTAATGGCAAAAGTACAGAAACGAATGTAAATAACAAACCTTGAAGTTTTAAAAATACAAAAGAAAAAAAGAAAACAAGCAAAAAGAGGATGATCCATGAGCACAAACAAAACAGTTTCAATTTGTAAAACTCCATGTCCTCTATATATACAGCAAGGTGTTTGGCAATTTATGTATTTCTATTATGGTAACCATTTAAATTATTTAAAACTATGCTACAAAAATAAAGGAAATTACCATTTTTTCCTGGGTTGTATAAATTAATATTATAATAATATTAAAATTGACTATTCCTATTTATAGAATTCAGCTTTTCCTCAGCCTTGTGAAACAATCTGATATCAATTCTCTGTTACTCTAGCCTCAGCCCTACAAATATTCACATTAAGAATGCTTAAGACGCAGATAATGACATAATGTATTTAGAAATTGTGTTGTTTCATAATTTTTTGGTAAAAGAATCATAAAAAAATTTTAAGCTTCCCTATTTTCTCCTATAATCATCACTCCAGATGAAATGCATGAAATACTGAATGCTCAGTTATGTCACCTTTAGTCCAAATGCCCACAGCACTTGCGGTTTTTCATAAACAATATGCCTTTATACTATATACCTACCCCTTGAGCCATCAACTACTTAATGTTTTAAAATGTAGTTTCAAACGCAGTTTTAACACCCTCTTGCGTGCACACACACACCCCCACATACACTGAAGTGTGCAGAAAAAGGAGGAGGTGGAGAGCAGAGGAAGAAATGGAGCACGTTGTTGTTTTTCATTCATGCAGTATAGTGATGTCAGTGTCTGCAGCAGCAGTGGCAGCGGCAGGAGCCTTGACCAGTGGAGGCTAAAATCCACTCAAGTCAGAACCTTACAGCATTCAAAAGAAAGTGAGAAGACAATCATTCTAAAAATTAAATCAACTGTTCAGATCATGGATTTTAAATGGCTAAGGAAACAGATTAGTAGGACAGTTTTAATTTGGGTAGCGGGGGTAAAAGGCGGGACATGGAGAAGTAACATAGGAGTAATATAATCACGGAACTGGGGGTACAGAAGCCCGCATTCAAAAATCACTTCAATGTAAAAAACTGACAAAACCACCTGGTGTTTAAAACAGTAGAAAAACATCTCTAGCAAAGAAAGCCCTTGCATTCCCAACACAAGCTCTCTGACACTGCAAATCTGTCTGCTGCACAACCAGACTCAGAAAAGTGTTTTCATCATGATTGCATTAAAATCGCATTAAACTCGGATGTGCCATACTACAACAAAGAGAATAGTTTAAGCCAGATCACAAATTTCATTAAAACTGCTTGATGATGGAGCATGTAATTCCTAAGCAATTAAGCCTTTTGAAGGATGCAGAAAAACAAGTTGTACTATTATCTGTTGTAAGATGTTAGTGTTTATATACAAAAGGGGAGAAGGGTACTAGATGACCATTATGTTGTTGCAGCAATTGCTGAAACTTCTCTTACTCACATCCACAAGACCCACAATCTGCAATGCTTATTTTATGCCTCTTAGTGCCTACAAGAAAATCCCAAAACTCAATTTGTGCACTGTTGAAGCAAAATCACTAAAAAATTTATGTAACTGTTTTCTGTTCATTCTCTTATTTCTCATTTCATACAGTTCTAGAAAATGTGCAAGAGTTGCATATGGCATTAATCTGTTAGAAAATGGTGGCCTTTTCTATAAAATACAGCCAAAGATGTGTGTTCAGTTGTGGTCATTATTAGGGCGATCACGTTGTTTTCATTCATTCATTCAGGATTTGCTGGAGGATGTCAGTTTCTGCAGCAGCTGGCTTGACCTGGGGGAGGAGTGGAGGAGCATATTCCTCCCAGTGCATACAGATTACAGGATGTGTTTCTTGGTGCTCATGTACTCATCCCACTGCACTACATCCTACACTGGTTCAACATCAAGTGGTCAGAAAACAAGTGCGTTAGCAACATGCTAATTACAGGTCTGAAATATTAAAACAAAAACACCAAGACTGCAATGTATCATAACGCAGACAACCACTTTCTCCAACTCTAACACCTTCAAGAAAACTCCATTAAAAAAAAAAAAATTCCACATACCACATAAACAATGTACAGACTTTGACAGTGTTTCCCTTCCAAGCAGAGATTTTTCCACCCAGCATGATCTGTTCCCTCCACAATGCAGCAGCAGCATCTGTAGCTCTAGGCTGGTATCTAATAATATTAGCTATTCCACTCTCCCTTATGAGCTTTAAGTCTCTGTTTTGGCTAATCTTCCTTTTCTCCCCCAGGGCTCAACTAGATCATGCACTGTGTCCCTAGACATAAACAAAACCAAAGCAAAACAGAAAACACTAAGGGTAACCCACAGCATCCACCAGCTCACCATTACCTTTGACACCTAACAAAAAAGAAACTTGAGATCCTTCAATAGCTCAACTGAACTGTTAAGTGTACTTAAAAATGGAAGGAAAAAGCGAACACGTTCCACAAATAAGTTTTCAGAAATTTACCATGAAAATCTCCAGTTGAGCATAAACTGTTTCCAGTGCAGGAGTGCTCTGATGCATGAATATATAAAGGGGAGGGGGAGAGAGAGAGGGAGAGAGAGAGGGAGAGGGAGGTGGAGGAGGGGAGAGAGGGAGGGAGAGAGAGGGAGGGAGAACTGAGGGAAAAAACCGTATACACTTCAATTGCACATTCAAAACTGTCCCCTCTAGCAGATATCATTACATCCAGCCGATATCCTTACATCATAACTAATGCCACCATCCCTCTAAGAAATAAAAAAATTATCCCGGTAGTTATAGGCACGTTAGGAACTTTGCAGGAAAGCACAAAGAGACTGTAGAGATTACAACCACCACCTTATCCGCTGCTGAAGAGTTTGTGTGCGTGTTTAAGTGTTTCGCCCAGCTCCTCTTTCCCCGGCTACAAACAGCAAACACACGAATGAGCTAGCCAGCTCTTAAACTGAAAAACCTCTCGAAGCAGGCGAGTGATGGAAGAGAAAATCTGAGGGGCGGCATGAGGGTCAAATAAAAGTTGCTTTTCAGTTCGCTCCTCCAAGCCCCGCAAGCGACCGCAGGGGGGTGAGATTCCCAAAGCCACTTTCACACCTTCGATAATGCACTAGCAAAGAGAAGCCCGAAGAGGCTGAAGTTTCCACGGAGGGCACCGTCGGGGAGACGCAGCCCGGGAGGACGGGAGGGTTGGGCTCGCTACCTCTGCACACGGGCGAGCCGGGGCTCCGTCTCTCAGGTGAGCTGCTCCTCCGGTGGCTCTCTGGGGACCGTCTCGGGCGGCCCTTGGCCCGCGGCGCCTGCTCGGCCGGGGCTGCGGCCGGCGGCGGCGTCGGGCTGGACGGGCTGGGGCCGCGGGCCGCGCCGGGCCCCGGAAGGCTGCCCAGCGAGGCGGCAGCAGCGGCGGCGGGCGGGCGCGTGGGACTGTGCTGGCTGCCCCGCAGGAGCTGGTAGGGCACCGTAGCGCGGATGGGCTGCAGCAGCCGGCCGGCTCCCGCAGCCGGGGCGCAGCTCACGCCGCCGCCCGCACCGTTCCCGCTCCCGGCTGCGGCGACGGCGGGCGGGGACCCCGCGGCGCTGCGCCTCATCCTCTGCGGCGGGGGATGAGGGGTCTGAGAGGAACTGGAGGAGGATGAGGAGGCAGTGGACATGGTGGCTCTGCGGGCCCTGGACGCCGCCGGCCGACACGAAGGCGCGGGGCGGGAGGCGCGCGAGCGTGTGGGAGCCGGCGCGATAGTGCGTGCGAGTGTGTAAGGGGGAGGGGCAGGGGTATCGCTGTAGGGGAGGAGTCTCGGGGCTCCCCCTCCCCAACGCACACCCCCGCCGCCTCGGCGAGGGGGAGGGGAAGGCTCCGAAAACAAACGTCCAACGGCCCCAACCGCCCGGCTGGGCTCGGCGTGGCGGTCACGGCCGGGGCCGCAAGGAGCCCGGAGCCGCCACCGAAGCCACTGCTCCAGGCATCGCGCTGACAGGGCAACCGCCCGGTTTACGCAGCCCCGAGGGCCACTCGCAGCCTTCTCCTCAGCCCTCGCGGGGCTGTACGCACGGGAGAACCCGTCAGCTGCAGGGAGGGCCGGGACCCCTGCTTCTGGGGACCAGGGTAGAGAGAAAGGGCCTCGAGGTGCTGGCGCTCCTCGGAGTCCGCGCCGCCGCCGCCGCCGCCGCTTCTACCCACTCCTCACTCGAATGGCAACTAATTCGCCCCAGCCGCACCCCGCCCCCGGCACCGCCTCCCAGCGCTCAGGACCCGGCAGCTGCCGCAACGAGCATTTCCATTGGCTTAGGGGCTCCCCACCAGAACTCGAGTGATTGGTTCTGGAATAGGAGTGAGAGAAGGAGTGTCCAATGACAATGGTGTCTCCTACTTTGAAGGTGGGGCGTGAGGGGGTGGCAGCGTGAGGTGGGGGTTGTGCGCGCAGTGGGGAGCGAAAAAGTTGACAGCCTTGAGGTAAGAGCGAGACTAGGAAAGTTGGATTGTGTGTGTCCTGCGCGTGTCCCGACACCCCCAGACACGCAAACGCCGCGCTAGGCAGGTTGCAGGGGCTCCACCCTCCTGGGCCGTCTGTATGACTTGAGACGGGACTCATGAGGCAAACTTTAATTTGCAAGTACACCTGCATCCGGTGGGATGTTTTAGTTAGAACCAGAAAACGGGATCTCTTCCCCTCTAATTTTAGTAAGCTGAGTTTTCGTGACCAGTAGCCTTATTAATCAAAAGAACTTCTGGTGAGCAGGCAAAATGTCTGGAACCTGGATTGAACAAAGTAAAATACTTTTAGAGCCTAACATTTGTAATTATGCAGTGAAAAGAGATGATCAAATTCTGTGTTCCAAGACAATAACCCTGAATAGCAGGGGTCAACAAGGAATTTTACGTCATTACACCAGCAGCTAGATATATTAATGAAGGGCGCCCCTGCCTTTTCCGAAGCAGATAGCTTCTTGAGAGGAATAAATACCAGATGTAATGTAATAATCCATTGTGGTAAATTTGTTTTTTATTCCGCAATGAAACTGAAAGGGTACAAAAATTTTGGATGACTATCAAAAACCTAAATTTATCCCACAGTAAACCAAGGTTTTAAACCTTAATCAGAAGCAATTAATGTAAGGATCTTCATCGGATAACTTTCATTAATTGTCAAGAGGTTAAAAGAGAAGCAGAATGTCAGATTGCTCTACTCGTGCTGTCTGCCCACACTGACAAACTTCCTCTTATTTCAGGCACTATATGCAGGGGTCACTTTCACGTATAGGAGCCATCTTTCTTTGCTTCCTTGTGTGTTCAGACCAGAAAGCATACCGGGTTCAGTTAAAAAAAAAAAATTGATGAAACTCAATAAAAATACAAAAATTTCATGCAGTACTTCATAGTTCCTCACTTTACCACATATTAGAATAATAGCTAATGTTTATTCACCATGTGCCAGCCGCTATTCTAAGAACATGATGTGTGTTAATTTATTCAGTCCTCATATAATCCACAAGGTAGATACCATTATTATCCTTACTGTGGTCTCAGTTGTGGCATAAATAAGCTGTCTTGCCTGAGATCACACAGTTAGTATATGGGAAGCTAAAAATTTCAAGACTGGCTCAAGAGTCTGAGGAAGCCCTCTGCTATAGTGCCTGGCAGCTCAAAGCTGTGGGGTACATAATTTGTAGAGTATGTATTGACAGTGGCCCACAAATCTCATCTGTGAGGTAAGTTTCCATCAGTTTAAAGGAAATTCTACAAATGAAGACAGACCACTACTTTTTTTTTGTTCTCCAGAATAACATATTTTAATTATGAATACAAACTTTATACTCTTCCAAATTTTATATAATTGGCCTACCTCATTAATTTAAAAACTGCATTATATTGTGTGTAAAAAGAATGATAAATGATTTCTTTTCAGTGACTTTTTTAGAATAGCAAGAACAAAAAATCTGACATTAAAAATATGTAAAGCTGGCCAGGTGTGGTGACTCATGCCTGTAATCCCAGCACCTTGGGAGGCCAGGGGCAGGGGATCACTTGAGCTCAGGAGTTTGAAACCAGCTTGGGCAACATGGCAAAACCCCACTCTACTAAAAATACAAGAATACTAGCCGGGCGCAGTTAGAGAGGCTGAGGTAGGAGGATCACCTGAGCCCAAAAGGTCAGGAGATCAAAGCTGCAGTGAGTCTTGATCACACCACTGCACTCCACCTTGGGTGACAGAATGACACTCTGTCTCAAAAAAAAAAAAAAAAATTAAGGTTTTTATTTTACATGCAGGTAAATTTCTGAGTTGTTGCTTTGATTACAGCATAGTTGCATTATAGAAATGTCATCTCTAGCTACTCCTAAATATATTTATGGAACGACCTCAACATATTAGGTTACAATAATTCTAAATTTATACTCGGTCACAATCACAATGATCAATTGGATCTAATTTGGATCTAAAACAACATATCTAGTCATATTTTAAGGACTTTCTGTGTTTCTTCAAATCTACCACAGCTGACTTAGACATCTAAAGCAAATCTAAATAATCCACACAGAGAAACAGAATTAGTATGATCTTAAAACACTATTATCAGTTACTGGTAAGTCATTATGACCAATCTAGAAGTTCAGTCACTTCTCTTTGCTGTAGAAACCTTAGTTGTCTCTTAAACCTTTATTCTCATGAAGTAAGTACCGATCTTCATATTTAAGGAATATAGGCTTCAAACAAATCAAAGGTGGCCTAAAATAAATTAAACTCAGTGCCTGCTTTCAAATGTCCATTTGTTGGGTTCTTGATAATACTTTATTCTTATTGAGAATGATAGTAAGCTCCAAGGATATATAGAAGCTTTAGGAAAATGTTCTTAGTAAATTGGAAACCCCCTAGAATGAGATGTGGATTGCTAGGCTAGAAGAGCATTGTTATGCTATTTTGCTAGCTATGGGGTAGTTAGGCCTAGTGCCAATTTTCCATACTGGTTGAATGTAAGTGTAACAATCTCTGAAAATCCTATGTAAGGCTTAAGGTTAACATTGACCTCTTACTATGTTGTCCTGTGTAAAGAAGACAAAATTGAAGGCACAATTTGGTGGCATGAGAAATACTTCGGTTTCAGTAGCCCCATGCCGTGGCTATCTGTGGGACAAGGATCTACCATTAGCTAATCTGAGATAGAATCCTGTTATATTTACTTCTTAGTGCAAATATGGTAATAGACTACATTTTAGGTTAAATTAAAACTTGGAATCATTGGTTACATATGATTTATATGCAGCCCCATGTGGAGAGATCATAAGACGAAGAAGCCACAGAGCCCACAGAGCTACCAAAACCCTCCACTTCTAGCTCCATCTGGGTTTGCCTGGCTGAGCATCCAAGGCCCATCCAAATCTGAGAGGCAGTCCAGGCTGTCAGTATTTGCAATGAGGTCATGGCTGGGAGAGAACACTAAACAGATCTGCACTGATGTTCATCTTAAGCTGATTAAACTCTCTTGTAGATTGATTCCTAATAGCAACAACCACAAAAAAGCCTTGACTGAATTTTCGTCCCTGGCAGATGCTTAAATTAAACTCCTCAATGCTTGTGACAGCCTACGTGCACCTTCGCACAAGGTGTTCCCTCTGCCTGAAAGGTTCTTGTCCAGATATCCACACGGCTTGCTGACTCATTTCCATCAGGTCTTTACTCAAATGTCACCACCTTCATGATGAGAGCTTTCCCGAACACTGTTTTAAAAATTGTAAGCTCCCCTAGGCTTTTCCTGCTCTTTATCCTACTCTTTTTCCGGAGTACTTATCAGCATCCAAACCATAATATATTATAATTATTTTTTGCTTTGTCTGTCTAGAATAGAACAGCCTTGAAGACTTTTTATCAGTTTTGTAACTGCTGAATCTCCACAACAGTGCTTAGTATATGATAGATGATCAATAAATATTTGTTTAATGTTGTTAAGAGTGGCAAATTTTAGCCAGTGTTTGTCTTATGAACTAAAACTTGTGCTTTTCCTCAGGGAAAAAAAAAATGTAACAGGTGTATCTCTGCTACAAAAGCACAGTTGCAGAGTAGAAAAATATCTGATGTGGTTACTGTAAACCACACAGATATTTGTATTGAAGCTGCCATTCAAAAAGACAGAATACCTTGTATTATGGTTGTTAGACCTACTGGCTCCTGGAGGCTCATCAGAGGTTGAAATGGAAAATGGGGGCCAGGTGTAGTCCCAACTACTGGCAAGGCTGAGGCAGAGGACTGC